TAACAAAATTTCAATACATATTACAACAAACAATTTATTATTCACATATAATACAAGATTTATTGATAATTAAATACAACATATCAATTTCTTACCAAACAAGCATAATGTATTTTTAAAAACAGTTATAATACATATTTGTTGCATATATAATTTATTTTTAATATATTTAAAAAAATGAAGGATAAAAGAAGACAATCAGAGAAGAAGTCAGGTAGAAATGCAGGCAACTTCACATTATAGTCATCCTGCAATGAGTTTATTATTGGCTACACATGAGTGATAGGTCAAATATCTTTTCTTTATATTTCCATCTGCCTTGCTAATGGTCATTAGTAAACAGCATGGCCGCAAGAAGAATTAGAAGTCACTTTGTCCAGTCTTACAATTAGGGGTGAATATGTCATTGAACTACATTTATTTCACTCGAGTTCTATCTCTCCTTTTCAGATTTTGTGGAATTTCTTACATTTTTTCAGCTGGTTAATGTTCAAGTTATCGTGTTTCTACTTTAACTTACATTTTGTGCTTATTCCTGACTTTTCTCTACTTACATGTAGTTGTCCAATCAAATATGGTTATGTTCAACTTTGAACTGATGTAAGTCATGAGATAAGAGTTTATATATATACTTTCCTGGTGATTAATTATTGTTGCTAATGCTAATTTTATTGTGTTTTTTCATAGGGACACATACTATATATGAGTAATTTTGGCAAACCACATGAGTTGCACAAATTTAATAATAGTAGTGAGGATTTAATTCCTATTGAGTTAGTAGTATCATGAAAAAGTAGTTCAAAAAAAATTATTTGACAGTACCTGAATTGTATAACCTTGGTAACAATTTTTTTTAATGTTGTTTTACTGGTAAAGATTACATATTTTCTTAAATTTTGTCGATGAAAGTTTTTTTTTCTTTTAATTAGATGGTAGAGGTTTAGCAAATTTGGTATGGTGTTTGTTTGATTTAGCGTTTCTTGATTTCTGTAAATTGATTGAATCGAACTCTCACAGCAAATTTTGACCATCAGTTCCAAGGAAATTAATTGAATACATGGTCACGAGCCATTTTCACCCTTAGGTCACATCTCATGAGTTTATCGTGCCAAAACTATTAACGCTAAGTAGAATTTGGTCTGTTGAGGGAACTTGTAGGAATGAATTTTTGTTGGTATCCTGTGGAATTAGTTGAGGTGTGTGGCGGACTCCATGATATTGATAAAAATATCAAAAAATATGTATTCATCAATATTATTAAAAAATAGAGTAGGAGAAAACATGTGTTATCTGTTCTCGATTTATAAATATTGTCTTTAATTTATCACTGGAACCTTAGAGGAAGTGTGTTGCATTCATTTGATCACATTTGCATATTATGTATCTTATACAGGCATCTAAAAAAATCTTTATCAACTTCTCCAGATGTCAAAAGGATTTATTCACGCCTAAGAGTAAGAGACAAAATTTATTATATAGTCTCCAGGTCCTTTTGGGATATCTTCATTATTTAGCTTTCCACATGTGCTTGTGTCATATATCACTTTCCAAATTGCATCACTTTCGTCATCAACCACCTCAATTTTATGAATTAACTAACATTACACAATTTTCTCAGAAACCCTTACAGCTCCGTATGATATGGTTTTGAGAATGCATATGACTAGCGAACTTATTAAAGAAGATATTACTTAACAAATATTAGGGACTAAGTTGTAATATAGAAAACTTGTAGGAGTTAGTTTGTTAGGTATAAAAGAATGTTAGTTACAAAAGTTAGTTATAATATTAGGTGTATATAAACACATGTACATCAACATAATGAGAAAAACGAAATACTTTTTTCTTTTAGTAAATTTCATCTTCTTTCTCTCTTATGCTTATAGATGGCTGCTTGTTAATGTCAAATTGTAACATGGTATCAGAGCATCAATGTTAATATCAAATTGATCAAGTGAATTAGACATGGCAACAATCGATAATGAATTGCCAGACAAGTTAGGTCATAATCATCCTCTGTTTCTTAGTACCATTGATAATTCTCGTGCAATGTTTATTTCAATACATCTTACAGTGGCGGAGAATTTTTCAGTTTGGAGTCGTGCAATGAGAATTGCAATTTTAAGTAGAAATAAGCTTTGTTTCATAATAGAACTTGATTAAAGGAAGGTTTTGGCCCTAATCTAACAACATTGTGGGAACGTTGTAATGCAATAGTTCTATCTTGGACTATGAACTGTGAATCCAAAGAACTTCTTGGAGAAATTGTATATTCAACGAATGCAGTTGCACTTGGAGCAATCTCAAGGAAAGATATGACAAAGTTGATGGTTCAATGAGTCTTCTTGCTTCGTAAAGAAATTTCATCGATATCTCAAGGTACAAGTTCAATTTCAGTCTATTTTGCTCGATTGAGAGTCTTTGGGTAGAGTTTGATAGTATTACTCCAGTACCTTCTTGTAATTGTGAGAAATCCAAGGATTTCATTCTGTTTGTACAAAATTAGAAGTTACTACAATTTCTTATGGGACTTAATGAGACATATGAACAAGCAAGAGGTCAGATTCTTATGATGATTCCTTTGCCATCGTTAAACAAAGCTTACTCTTTGTTACTAGAACTTGAGAGTCAAAGATTCATATCTAAATCGCATAAATCTGGAGGTCAAACAAATATGAATGCATTAGTTTTAGTTAGATCTGGTTCAAATCCTGTAAATAGGAAGAAAAGCCTTATTCATCTTATAGCTATGATCCAAATGTAAGTTGTGATCACTGCAAATGAAAAGGACACAGAAAGGCTGTTTGTTTTTGTCTAGTAGGATACCCACCTGATTTTGAAAGGAGAAGAAGAGAGAATCAAGGGAACAACTACTCAGACAATCTGAATTATTATACTGAGAGAGGTGGTAATTCATACAATGTAGCAAAAAATGTGTTGGCTGATATTGTAAAGACTCAAGAACAACCTAATCAAGTCTCAAGAATTGGATATTATAATAAAAGTATGGAGATTATACATGAACAATACAACCAAATATTGCAAATGTTGGGAAAGACTAATTTGCAGGGTACATCAGATGTGGGTACTTGCACACAGGGTCCAATAAGTGGAAGTGTTAATCAAATACAAAGCTCCAATACTGCAGGTAGTAGTTTTAAAATCTCAGTAGGATCACATGATTGGATTGTAGACTCTGGGGCAACAAATCATATAACATATAAGTCTGATATGCTATTCGATAAGAAGTCAATGCCTAGTAACAGTTATAATCAAGTTTATTTGCCTAATGGAGACAAAACCACTGTTTCTCATACATGGTCTTGCAACATTAATGAACATGAAAGGGTTGAAGATGTGTTAGTCATACAAGAATTTAAAAATAATCTTCTTTCTCTCTCAAAAATCACAAAAAGTCTGAATTGTTCAGTCTCCTTCTTTCCTGATTTTTTTGTATTCCAGGATTTTTACAATAGACAGGTGAAGGTGATTAGTAATAATCTAATGGACTTTATTTTCTCCCTGCTCCAAAATCAAGGAAAGAGTTAAATACTCAAATATAGTCACACAATGTTCAGGATAACACTAATACAACAACTTCTTCTGTGTTCTGTGGCATCTAAGGTTAGGACATGCATCTTCAAATGTATTAGCAAGTGTTATTCCTTAATCTGTTAAACATAATACATAAGAAATTTAGAAGTGTACTATCTGTCCATTAGCCAAACAACACAAATTACCTTTTCCTCATAGTACTTCTGTGTCCTTATTGCCATTTCAATTGTTACATATTGATGTTTGGGGACCTTTTAAGTTTCCTAAATATGATGGGAATAGATTCTTTGTTACAATTGTAGATGATTGTACAAGAATGGTATGGTTGTTTTTAATATAGTTGAAAAGTGATGTTGTGTATCAGTTAAGGTCATTAGAACAAATAATGGTACAGAATTTGTTAATTCTAGAATGTCATCAGTTATGTAAATCACTAGGCATAGTACATCAAAGAACTTGTGTTTATACTCCTCAACAAAATGGTATTGTTGACAGGAAACTTAAATATTCTGGAAGTTGCAAGACCTATTAAGTTTCAATGACATTTACCTATTAGGTTCTGGGGTCATTATGTCTTATGTGCAACTTATATTAGTAACAGATTACTTACTCCAGTTTTGAATGGGAAGTCACCATATGAAGCTCTATATAAGAGCAAACCTTAATTGCATCATTTGAAAGTAATAGGGTGTTTATGTTTTGCCAAAAATATGTATATTAGTGATAAATTTGAATCAAGAAGTATGGTGGCAATACAAATATGGGTATAGTGAGCAAACTAAAGGATATATTCTTTATGACATAAAGAACAAGTGTTTTTTTCTTAGTAGAGATTTTGTGTTCAAGGAAACTATATTTCCTTTCTCACTTTCTTCTTCAGTTGCCTGAAAACTATTTCCTACCACTAATATTCCTACAGAAACAATTCTAGATGGTATATCAAATGTACCAGAATCTGAAACTTCTGAATCACATTCTGATCAAACAATTCCTATTCAGGCTGCAACACCTAGGAGATCATTAAGAATCAGTAGTACTCCACTATGGATGAAAGACTATGTGGCATATGTTAAAAAAATCCCTCAGTGTGCAAGCCATTATATTCAATTGATCAATACCTTGGATATTATCATTTATCTGCCAAGTATCAGTTATATATGTCTTCATTTGGAGTTGAGATTGAAACATCTAGTTTTGAGGAAGCATGCAAAGATCCCAGGTGGGTTGATGCCATACAGGCTGAGATCAAGGCCTTAGAATGCAATAACACTAGGAATGTTGTGTGTTTGCCTTATGGGAAAACAGTCATTGGGTGTAGGTGGATTTTCAAGATTAAATACAAAGCTGATGGTCAAATTGAGAGGTTTAAGGCTATACTAGTAACTTAGAGATATAATCAAAGGGAAGTACTAGATTCTCATGAAACATTTTCTCCTGTGGTAAAAATGGTGACTGTTAGAAGTCTTGGCACTAGCTGCAGCAGGTAACTAGCATGTACATCAAATGGATGTGTATAATGCTTTTCTACAAGGAGATTTGTATGATGAAGTGTATATGACATTACCACAAGGGTTCAAGATGAAATAGGGATTTACTGGACAGGGGAAGAAGCCTGTATGTAAGCTCATTTAATCCCTATATGGACTTAAACAAGCACCTAGACAATGGAATGTTACGCCTACTGAAGCTCTCATAAAGTAAGGGTTTGTACAGAGTCATCTTGATTATTCGTTATTTACTAAAAAAGTTGGGGCTACTTTGGTGATAATCTTAGTATATGTTGATGACATGATGATCACAGGTAATGACATTAGGATGATACAAGAGACTAAACAGACATTACAAGATACATTCAAAATGAAAGATCTTGGAGATCTCAAGTATTTCATAGGGATAGAATTTGCCAGGTCAAATAAAGGTATAGTTATTCTTTAAAGAAAGTATACTCTCGAGATTATTTCTGAGGCAGGATTGAGTGCAGCAAAACCAGCTACTACACCATTTGATTCTTTTGTGAAGTTGACTACTAAGAAATATGATGAAGTTAATAATATAGGACATGATGACAAGTTACTAGAAGATCCCAACATATATAGAAGATTAATTGGCAAACTCTTGTATCTTACTGTTACAAGACCAGATATTGCATATGCAACACAAACTCTGAGTCAGTTTCTTCATCAGCCAAAACAATCTCATTTAATTGCAACTGTGAAGGTAGTAAGATATATAAAAGGTCAAGCATGGTGGGGAATATTCCTATCCAGCAAAAGTAGCAAACATCTAAATGTTTATTGTGATTTAGATTGGGCTACGTGTCCATTGACTAGGAGATCAGTAACTCGAGTCTTGATAAAGCTTGAAAACTCTCTTATTTCATGGAAGACCAAGAAGCAAGGAACTGTCTCTCGAAGCTCAGCAGAAGCTGAGTATAGAAGTATGGCAAATTTTGTAGCAGAGGTTGTATTGGATAGTTAGTTTGTTCAAAGAATTAGGAGAGATATTCAAACTCCAGTTATTGTCCATAGTGATAGCAAATCAGCAATACAGATAGCAGCAAATCCACTAAATCATGAAAGAACCAAACATGTAGAGTTGGACTGCCATTTTATAAGAGAGAAGATACAAAAAGGAGTTATTGAAACAAGACATCTAAGTACAAAAGAACAGATAGTTGATCTACTTACTAAAGGTCTAGGCAGTTCACAATATGAGTATTTACTTTCCAAGTTTGTAGTAATAAATTTGTTTATAACCTCAAACTTGAGGGGAAATATTAAAGAAGGTATTACTTAACAAATATTAGGGACTAAGTTGTAATATAGAAAAGTTAGAGGAGTTAGTTTGTTAGATATAGAAGAATGTTAGTTACAAAAGTTAGTTAGAATATTAGGTGTATATATACACATGTACAACAACACAATGAGAAAAAAGAAATTTTTTTTCTTCTCAGTAAATTTCATCTTCTTTCTCTCTTATGCTTATAGATGGGTGCTTGTTAATGTCAAATTGTAATAGAACTCCGACATCCTTTACATATAATAAACAATGTCATAGTAATCTCATATTTCAAAATCGAAACATATGTTATAGATTTTGGGTGTATAACATTAGTTAGTATTTGAGATTGTTCAAGTAGACACCATACTAGTGCCTGTTGTATATATTCTGAATATTTCTAATAGTATATGATATCAACCATCTTTTACAGTAGCCGTGACCCTTGATTCCTTAATATTCATATTTTCACAAGCATAATAACTACTTCATATTAATTTGACTATTGGCACGGGCCTCTTCCATCCAGTATGTTTAGAAGCAATATTTATTTTGACAAAGACATATATAGGCCTAGCTAAAACACACCAAGGTAAGGACAGAAATTTTGAAACAAGCATAAAATAATGTATAGAATATAGGATAATTTGTGTCTCAAACAAATCTGTCAACATACTAAAACGAGTATACATAAAAGGAAAAGATGATATTTCTTTATTTAAACTTGATGTTTCTTTTACTTTGTTTTTACCATGATAAAGGTCAACTTGACAGTATAACACTTACTCTTTTCCCTAGGTTTATGTTAGTTAATCTATACTTGATATGTTACTCCCTGTTTAAAAAAGAATAACCCAGTTTTCTTTTTAGTCCGTTAAAAAAGAGTGAACTATATTCTATTTTTGGCAACACTTTAAATTAACTTTCCACATGACATGTTTAAGGTCACAAGATTAAAGGATGTTTTGATACATTTGATATAACTTTAGTTTAGAACCACAAGATTAAAAAGTCTTCTTTCTTTTCTTAAACTCGTTTCATGTCATATTAAGTCATTCTTTTTAAAATGGAGACAATGTATTTTTTTTGTATCCGATCATAGCTAATCCCATCCTCACCATATGTAAGAGGATAAAAACGGAGTTTATAAAACTCAAGAGGTAATTGATTACACATAATGAAGAATCAAAAAACTGAATTTTCCTAAAATTCTCATAGCCTTTAAAGATAGGTACAAATGTCATCATATTGATTTGTGAGACTTAATTAGAAACTTATTGTTATGGTGAAACTGATGAACCTAACACAATAATATCAAATAATCACGACTTAAAGATTTGCGAATATAAACTAAATGATATGCAAAAATAAGTTAAAAGATTATTAGTATATACTAAACCTTCTAAACATCATAAAACAAAGTAAAAGTACAATAGAAAATTGTTCTGAAATTCAATATCACTTGTACAAGATATTTATAAAATAGAGAGGTAAAAATGTTAGAATCTAGTACATAAAAGAAAATATTAAATTCAATATAGGTATAGGAATATTGGCCATTGTAATAAAAAATTAGTCAAGAAATGCCCTAGAGATCAGTATCGGTATTTGCATTAAAAAAAATTAACAAGCTTAGTATGAATACAAAATCACAAATTTTCAATAGGCATTATAGATCGACCAAACTTAAGCATTAACTATATTGTAAAAGATTTTTGAGTAACCCTGCATGTAGAAAAGTCTAAGGATTTTAGATATAACACACAGAAAAGGAAGAAGTAACACAACATCTACTAATATGATATACTATTTATTACAATGGCCAATATTTCTACCGATATATCCCCTTCAACACTAGTATGCTATGAAGTGAGACCGATTGAGGTTGTTATGTTTCCTTAGTTTTATGTGATTTCAATCAAATGGTCAAGTCTTTGGAGGTTGAAAAACATAATAATTCATATGATAAGATGGATAAATATATAGGATTGCCATACTAATGAAGACTATATGGCCGATTGTAGAGATCATTTTCATCATAAAAGTTGTGAATGTGATGTAATGTGACCAAACATTGTTGTTGCATTTCTACCCTACCATCCCCTAATGCTGATGTATAATTCACATTGAATGATTCTTATTTCTGATAAACAAAGGAAAAGTGGTTTTAAGAACATTTTTGAGGCTAGTCTCAGGGCGAGTTCGGGGAAGGGCGTACCAAAAATGCTCTAGGGTGTAAATGAAAGGCTTAGATCCATAAGGCGTAAGTCCTAAATTTGAGGCGTAAACCCTGAGCATAAAAACGTAAGTCCTAAAAGAAACACGTACACCCGAGTGTTTAAATTTAATTTTGTAAATCTTTAAATCATATTTTTATTATTGGTGTAATGATATTTCTCAAATAGTAATTAAAATATTTTTTCTTAGTTATTGATTAATAATATTATCTTAAATAAAAATCATAAATCATTGAAAGATTTCATTTTGCTTATTTTATTAGTAATAAAACTATAATTTTAATATACATAAGACTACATCTTGTATATCCGTGGGACTTACGCCTCGCGTTTCAAGGCTTACGCCTCGCCTTATCCTGTACAAAATGTCTCGTCTCACGCCCCCACCTTTTAAAACAGTTAAAAGGAATGCTTACCTAAGGTTTAGTAAATTTAAGATCTGGAAGTTTTTCTTTTTGACTTAACTTTTTATCATATATACGTGGATTATTGTGTTTGAGTATCTCATTTGTTAAATTAAGCTTCTCCATGAAGTAACTTTTTATTCGCAAAAGGAACTTATAGTTTATAGAAAAATAGATGAATATAAAATGAGATCATAATTCAACTAGATTTATCACTTTAAATTTTTAGTTACAAATAGGGCGCCAAGTGGTTGGGACAAATTTGATTTGGATGGATTGAAAATAGATTGAGTCAAAATGGTTTGGATTACAATTCATTCACATAAAATATGGGTAGATATGAATTTGGTCAAATATGATTTGAATAAAATTATTTTAACTCACTTTGATCTCCTAAAACCAAAATATATTAAATCAAAGCTAAATTATTATATCCCAACCCTACTACCCCACCTCACTCCTAATTAATTTTTTAAAAAAAGAAGTCACTATTTATACAAAAAAAAAACAAAAAAAAAACAGTTCTACCCCTACACCTTTACTTAATGCCAGCCTTAAATAGAATCTAGGCTAGGTGAGGTCTAATGTCATCCGGATATGAGTGGGGTCAATTTTGTGTTCGGTTCATATATTCTTGAAACCAAGACATATGAGGTCCATAGAGCCTTTTTTTTTTGTAGAACGAGCACATTTTATTCATATAACCCCAATATCCATCAATTACAATCTATGGCCTTTAAAATACATGTTTAAACATACCAACTCAAAATAAAATAGATAATAGAGACTTTCCGAATTGAATCAAGATAAGTAGAACTTCCGAAATTGATCTTGGCATAAAAGGCATATGTCAGGATGACAAGGGAAGATGTTGTGTTGTAAAAATTGTCTTTTTCGGACTTTTAAGCTTCTGAACTTTCATTGAGCTCGATATAGGAGAAGGCGTCCCGCTAGTGTGCAAATTGTTATAGCAGGGGTAAGTTCTATGATGGCGGCACCACTATAGCGAGCCGAATCGTGTTTTAATGCAAAAATAACTCATAAACTCCTATTTTCTACATATCAGTTCTTTGATATGGGAGTGGCGATTTTGGGCAGATTGCACCCGTTTTTCACGGAATTCATCGGTTAAGGTAAAAATTTAACTCCCCAACCTTATGTATTAGTTTTAAAGTCAAATTATCAAATTTAATGATACCAATACAGTAATCAGTATATAATATTGATTTAGTATCAATTAAGCGAAATTTACTATGGGATACATATTGTAATTATTTTGCTTTTATGAGGTATTTGCTTAGTTTCCCTTTATAAAAATCTAAAAACAAACCAAATCTAACACAAATGAAATTGAGTTGGTTCATTTTTTCGATTTCGCAAATTTTTATCCAAACTGTGAACATCCATAGCTCCCTCTACCTAACAATTTTTTATTTACATCTTGGGTCTGCCCATTTAGTAGATTCCTAATGATTTATATTAAGTGAATTATATGATTTTTTTTCTTAATTTAAGATAAGTCTCATTCTACTATAAAATAAAGTATAAAGAGACAAGAGAAGTAGATAGAAGAGAGAATTTTTCTTCTTATTCAAGTGTATACTTATATTGCTTTGAGCTTGATATTATAACACGTTATCAACACGAGGTTCTAACAAAAATACATTTGTTTGGGTTGTGTTTATTCTATTTATTGGAACAAGGTAAGTTGTCGATATCGGCTAGAGCTAAGGTTATGTTTATATGGTTCACTGAGAAGCCCTTGTACTTGACTCTATTTGTAAGTTATATCCCTATACTTATGACTTTGTCAACTAAATCCTTAAACTTATTCAGAGACAATATTTTAGACCCTTTTCTCATTCGATGGATGTGTGTAATACACTCATTTTGGACCTGCAATACCTCGTCTTTTTATAATGTCACATCATCATCATCATCATCATTATTATTATTGTTATTATTATTATTATAATAATAATAATAATTATTATTATTATTATAATTTTGATGACACATCAGAAATCAAATATTTAAAAATAAATAATATTTTGAAAGA